CCCCAAAACCCCAAAACCCCAAAACCCCTCAATATTTTTATAATCTGCTATTCGTGATTTATATAAAATTTAAAGAAATAAAGAATTTCAGTAGATTTGGCAGCAAGCTGCTTTTTGAACCATAGCTGGAGAACTCCCTTATCCTGACCTAATTTTGTTTAGTTCTTCTTCTAGTTTCTGCTTCTCCCTATAATATTTGTTAAATGATTGTAATTTACCTTTTGAGTTTTTCTATTTCCCAATCCTTATTAAGGGAATTTTCATTCTTCTACATTCCTCGAGGAGTAATTATAACTTTCTCATTCTACTGTGATGATAGTTTAGACATATTTGCTTCATTTCTGCTTTTACTTGGAGATATATTCATTTCATCTTCATTTTCCTCTTAAATCATTTAAAGTTAATTGCTCATTTGCTAACTTTGATTTAAGGAAAGATCTTATTTTTGTTATTTTTTCTTGGGCTCTACTTTGCCATATACTCCAATAGTCAAAGTATTCTCTACCATATAGCCAATTAAGTCCTCATCAATTTCAATTATATGCTCATTTTTATAGCCAAACACCGGATTTCTAGTCTTTTCATCAACTACTTTAGTTTCAAATTATGTCTTATCCTCATCAAGCCATTGATATCTGCATTGCATTTCATGGGTCAGTTTTTCAGGCAAATCTATTGCTTTTTTCAAATCCAATATTAGCTTAAGCTTTTTGCCTATCACATCGCTTAAACTGTTATACTTTAGGATGTTCAATTGCTTTTTCTCATCTTGCTCATATATTTCTAGCCCAACGTTATAACTCATTTTCCCTTGAATGCTACCTTTATTATCAATAATTGGAGATTCATCATTCTTAGTTTCAACTAGATTGACTACACTTACAAGGAAATAATACATAAAGCCTATCAATTACCAGTCATTATCCATCGATAGACCAAATACTTCGCCGTCTGATTCTCTGTTGTCATTTTTCAGCTCCTCAAGCAATTCAGTCTCATCGACATCATCTCCCATTATATTGTCATATTTGTCCTTGATTTAGAAATAGACCTCATCAAATTTATCGAATTAAAGAATGTTGAAGATATCCTTGTTGCCTCTATTAGGATAGACTTTACATACGACTCTAGATACCTTTCTACCGTCATTCAGCACTTCTGTTGTGATTGCAGGTTCATAGTAGTAATCGCCTCTCTTTAATTCTTGGCAGATATTGTTAACTTCAGCAATCTTAGGAACAATCTCAGCAAGTTTGGCGTCTATTTCTCTCATTTAAAGCACTCTTTATTGATCTTGGATCTATTTCTTTTGTATCCTTTCCAATTCAGTTGCTGCTTCCTCTTGTTATCTCTGAAGCTGATCTTCTTATTCCTTTAGTTTCTTTTAGAATTCAATTTTAGCCTTTTCCATCTCTTCTTGCATTTATTTTTAGGTCTCTTCATTCTTTGATTACAGTAACTGCTGCTATCTCTCTAGCATGTCTTTCTCCATTTATTCCCTTTCCTACATTAGCTTCAGTCTTTACTCCTCATATTCCTTTTCCTTGATTTCTCTTTCCTTTTAGAGCTTTTCCTCCATATCTTTAAGTTATTTCTAAATTTCCTCATTGTTAGTCTCATTAATCATTAATTACTCTTTATTGGCTTCTTTCATTGCATCCTCCCACTCAATCATCTCCTCCGGATTAATATCAGGATCACAATAGATAAAATAGTGATGAGAGCCAATTAAGACTCTATCACCATGCTGGAGTTAAACTTATTCTAATAGAAGTTCTCCATTAACGCAGGTTTTGTTCTTTTGTGGATCTTCCTCGTTTGGAAGAATATATGAAGCTCTGGTCTCATCGTCATATTAAATTTAGCAGTGCTTGATAACTATACCTGCTCCAGCAAGCTGTAAAGCGACTTCTCCATTAGGATCCCTTTTACCAACAGAGTTCATACCATCTTTAAATACACATTTGATTTTCCCACTCATGATAGGATCTTAATTGATATTTTTAAGATGTGGTTTATTTCTCAATTCCTCTTCTTCCTTCTATCTTACCTCTTGTTCAGCTTCTTTTTCTTTGAGCCTTCTTTCATATTCTTCTCTTTCTTATTTGATTTAATCAAGCATTCTTTTATTTTGCTCAAACTCTTCTAACATAGCTGGATCTACTCCACCGCCGACTCCTCCGCCACCTCCCATTTGGGCTAGTTTCTTGAGTCTTTCATTTTCTTCCTTTAACTCACGGATAAGTTTTTCCTAAGGACTCTCATTGACTTTGGCTTCATTTTTAATACTCTTGACCTGCCAAGCATATCTTAATGTACTTAAAGTTTCATCATAATTCACTGATGCAGGAGAGAGAGCAGCAATCATAGCAGTCTTAGAGTTTCCTCCTAAGGCATTTCTCAAAATAAAAGTCAATTTGGACTCTCTGTAAGGTACTACTACAGGACCACCTTTACTCTTGGCGGCTAAAGTAGAAATAACTTTACCCAAGATCATAAGACTTTTGTTGATATTAGATCCTTCTTTGAGTCTATCACCCTGAGCGCCAGTTGATGCAGCTCTTTCAGAACCAGCTAGATCGACTAAGTTAATCTCAGATAATTTTTCATTTAAAGGCTTTCCACTTTCCTTATCAAAGAACTTCTACTTGAAAGTCAATGTCGTTATAGTGTGAGCTCTACTACTCGTAGCATTCATATTAGTTGATCCAATGGTTCTGTTGTTTGTCCCTACATCGATTTGCTGTTGAATTTCATCATAACTGATAACTGGAACTTTGCTCATGTTTTCAACATACACACCGAATTTAGGATGTTCTCTGACGTTAAGGCCTCCCTTTGGTCTTTAATTAGGCTTGATTAGAAGATCTTAGACACATTCATTGTAAATTTCGATCATACTCAGAGTAACTTCATGCTGTATGTTATTCTATGGATCAGCCTCTTTCTCGTGAATTCTTCTGAAAATTTCCTCACAAGCTCTTGGAATAATTCCTTTGTTATTACCATAACCGACGATAGAATAACTTTTACCAGAACCGGTTTGCCCATAAGCAAACAGACAGGTATGATAGCCGTCGAAGGCATTATCTAAGACTTATATACCCTAATACCAAGTGAGTAATTAGATAATCCAAACAATTAATATTTCTAAATATCTTATATACTTACCAAATCTTGAAAAACTTTGTCTTAATCAGCATAATTTGAATCAGATGAAGGTCTCATGTAACCATTTGCTTCTTCATCAAAACCATCATGTGACCAATAACTGTAATCGAATGCGAATTCTTTCACTTCATTAGTTTCCTAAATAGTATAATAAGATAAGCTTAGGTGGTACTGGGTTTCTGATTGTAGTAGTGCCTCCATCCATCTTAATGATACATTAAGATTCAAAATTTTTCTCTCTTTAATTGAAAGGCCTGACTCTGACTGCTACCTTCACACTCGTCATTTCAAATCAATTTATTATAAATAATTTAATCACCTAATCTCATCTCATATCGACTTTAGGGGTTTTGGGGTTTTGGGGG